ACATCCATCGACGTCTTGGACGATGGGCAGAATTTTTCGAAGGGCAGTTCAACTGGCCTGCTGCTCCGGCAACATCGGTCAGACTGTCCTGCCCTCCATGGCCGGTGACGACTGATCCACCAAATGAGGAGGAAGTCCGCAAGGAACTCCAACTCTTGAAGCGTTACAAATCACCTGGCCCAGATGACTTACCTCCGGCTCTTTTTAAAGATGGTGGTGACTTTTTGACTAAGGAATTGACGACGTTGTTTACAAAGGTTTGGGAACTAGAGAGTGTACCAACGTCATGGAATGAGTCGATAGTTGTCCCTATCTTTAAAAAGGGTTCACGTCGTTCCTGTAACAACTATCGGGGGATAAGTCTACTTCCGATTGCGTCCAAGCTATTGGCTTCCGTCATTCTTCGTAGGTTGTTCAAAACCCGAGAAAGATTGACTCGCGAGGAGCAGGCTGGGTTTCGTTCTGGTCGAGGATGTATTGATCATATCTTCACCCTCCGCCAAATGTTAGAACACCGCCATACTTTTCAAAGGCCAACAATCGTAGTGTTTCTTGACATCAGGGCTGCCTTCGATTCGTTGGACAGGACTGTTCTCTGGGATTGTCTATTGAAGAAGGGTGTGCCTGAGAAGTTTATTAACATCCTAAAAGCCCTATATAAAAACACCTCAGGCAGAGTGAGGGCATACAACCACCTCTCTCCATTGTTCCATTCGAGCAGTGGGGTTAGGCAGGGTTGCCCAATCTCACCATTCCTCTTCAACTTTGCCATCGATGACATTCTGGAAACAGCTCTGATGAATGTAAGTAATGGTGGTGTGGATCTGTTGCCTGGAGAAAGACTTCTCGACCTTGAGTATGCGGACGATATTGTCTTACTGTGCGATAATGCCCAAGGCATGCAATCCGCACTTAATCAGTTGGCAATCAGTGTCCGTAGGTATGGTATGTGCTTTGCACCTTCGAAGTGCAAAGTACTTCTACAAGACTGGCAGGATTCTAATCCTGTACTCACCCTGGATGGTGAGCAGATAGACGTAGTTGAGAAGTTCGTGTATCTGGGTAGCTGCATAAGTGCTGGTGGGGGTGTGAGTGATGAGATCAATGCACGAATAGTGAAAGCCAGAGCGGCTTATGCCAATCTGGGCCACCTTTGGCGCCTTCGTGATGTTAGTCTGGCTGTAAAAGGTCGGATCTACAACGCGTCGGTGAGAGCAGTTTTGCTCTATGCTTGTGAAACCTGGCCTCTCCGAGTTGAGGACGTTAGACGACTCTCTGTGTTCGATCATCGCTGTCTCCGAAGGATTGCTGACATTCAGTGGCAACACCATGTCAGTAATGCAGAGGTTCGGCATCGTGTGTTCGGGCACAGAGATGATAATTCAATTGGTGTCACCATCTTGAAACACCGACTTCGGTGGCTTGGACATGTTCTCCGAATGTCGTCCCAGAGAATTCCACGTCGTGCATTATTTGCCGACTCTGGGACTGGTTGGAAAAAGCGGAGAGGTGGTCAGTGCATGACATGGTGTCGTGGCATGAAAGAAAGCTGCAAAGGACTGGCTTGTGTTGGTCCTTCACGACTCCCTGGTTGGGGTCCGAGAGATGGTGCTACACAGTGGCTAGAGACGTTATCAGATATGGCTCAGAATAGAAGCCAGTGGCGATCCTGCTGTAACCTTCTTTTACTTTCTTTATAAAAAGTGGTTGTATCTCCCTTACCTGAAAGATTTCTTCTGATTGTACCTTTCCGTTCCCTCGTTACTACCACACATCATATAGTCATCCCAACACGTTAAATATGACTTCTTAAAGTCCACAAACTAGACACCTCGTGCGCTTCTAAGAAATATCGGTCGAGACATCAGAAATCTTCATTGACAATTTCAACACTCATTCGAACTAGGAACTCACAAACTCGAGACACCCTTCCACATTAGAACCCTCTAATGGTCTGAGAAACATCCACTAAATTCCTGGGTTAGTTCTGAAGAAGTTGAAACCCCTGTACGAAAAAATGTCACGAGGATGTGACAACTAAGGGATAACTTTTTGAAGGCCGACTCCCCACACTTGGATTATTGCTGCCAAGCTACAAGGGCGTACGAAGTGATTAATAAATTAAAAATCCTACCCGCGTTACTTCAATGTACCTCATGAAGTAGACCCACGGCAAGCGACACATTTGAAAGAGAAAACCTAAATATCATCACATTTTTCCTTATTAGGATCAAGTCTGTCTGGAATACTCTCACAGCCGACGCGATCACACCTACTTCAGTAAGTAGCTTTAAGAGGAGGGTTGATAGCCAAGGACTTAATCACAGCTCGCCGTTCCTCTAATGGAGCAGTCACACCTGAAGCGTGTTTTGTATCTTTGTATTATCATTACCATTGTCCCCATTATTATTGATACCATTATTAATAATACTGTCATTACTCTTATTATTACTTCCACCACTATAGGCATAGCTTGTCTGCTCGGATTGTTTATGAAAAGTTTTTCAGACCGGGACAAACCAAATGCTCTGCCTGATAATCTGAAAGTTACTGGCCCTGGCCAACCCAGTGTTCTAGAATAAACTTACTCGTTTATATCCAAGGTAAACTAAATAACTATCACATATACAAATAAAAGAGCAGCTGAATGGCTATGTGACAAACATCGGAGGACTTCAAAGGCCTAGAAACATGCTAAAGTATCAAAAGTGAGCTTAAGGAAATCAGTCGGTATTCCCAAGTTCATCATACAAATATTGTATATTAGATGTGAACGAGCTTAGTTTGAAGGATAACGTTGTGCGCTAAGCTTATGTTCGGACATTTGCTCTCCGAGGCACTTATGTTTGTAGAAATTTTTCATACATTACTTTACTTATTATAAGTTTAATGTTTTGTCTGTATATACGGTGATTTTTATAATTGCTGATGTCTTAGTAGTCTAGCTATCACTAGTCAAGCTTTCTAGTACGCCTTCGAGTGGATGGACAGCCTATTTCCCGCATATTGAGTACCAGAAGTCGACTCTGCGTGCGTCGGTTGGTATAGTTTATTGATTTTTGATAACGTAGGTAAGAATAATTTGTGAATGACCTTTGAGTGGTGCTAAAGTAATCCCAATCTCCCTATTTTGGTGAAAATTTGACCCGTTTTGGGAGAATTTCGGCGAAGCCGCCTTAGTAAATTTTGAGGTTTTAATGTCATTTTTTCAAAATTTCCTATGGCGGCTTCCCAAATATTTCCCTTAAATTTTCCCAAAATCTTATCACACTTTGGGGGAATCCGTCTATACTTATTTATGAAACCGCAAAGATTTTCCGCAATTTCGGTGAAATAATCCAAAATGTCTCGTTTTAATTCAATAATTCTCCACATTTTTCGACAGATATCACGAAAAAGCCTTACGATAATGACCACCTAAAAGTTTCTACTCAAGTGTTCCATTTTTTCCTGTCAATTACGGACAGTAAACGCAGTGCCAAAAAAAACTGAACTACAGTTCGTAACGGGGATCGATCTATCGCTGTGATTAAAAAGACTGATGTTATGATTCATCAAAGGAAATCATCACTTGCAGAAACTCAAAGCTATCAACTACAAGGCCTGACAATGTAGCAATTGCCAACGGTCAACTAGGTTTCACCATACAAATTACTGATGGAGGTCGGATTAGGTTAGTCTCAAATCAAAACGCTAATTAGAAGTAAACAAAAAATATTCCAAAAACAAATAGCAATAGTCGATATATTGAGAACGTTGGCGTGTGCATAAAATTTACACAGAAATATTCTAGCGGACTAGATATAGGTCTCCGACGTGTCCCGAATATGCATTAATCAAAGCTCCTGCTAACAGGGATCCAACACGATTGTTCGTTTTCTTGCTCAAAGTCAGTAGATGGGCATCATAAGCCCATATTTTCTTGTAAGGAAGCCAGTATCTACGGAGATATTCCCAGTCACGCCTACTTAGTCCATTTACGACTCACGAATTTTGCTCGTTTCTGTGAAATAAATATGTTATGGGCATTACTGTCCAATGGCTTCGACCTTTATTAGCTAGCCATGATAAACGCTTGCCACTTAATCTCACATTTAAAAACAATCTCATCAAATCGATTGTTCGTTTGCCTCTGCAAAAAACGTCGATAGATGTGGAGATTGAAAATCTTAGCCAGTCTATGGGTCGTAAGGGATGCCGCTATTTCAGATTGTGCGCAAACCACTACAAACGTCTGTCACCCAAGTGTTTCCTATTATTTCCGTAAACCTATCCAGTATCTAAGTTACATCTGGTCTTAATTCTTTTGCTTCCATGTGAACGTAAACGATAAATACCAGTGATTACAAACAAACAGAAAGCATCTCTCTACCTGGTAAAACTGAACATGAAACCTCACTTCTTGCTATTAGTATTGTAAGTTGAATCTATACTAAAGACTCCCAGATACTTTCAATGTAATGCAATTTGTTGGTTGCTTTCAAAACAAACTTTTATTCAATTTCTGTCTTCAGAAAATCATTCTTTCAAATCCCCGTTTACTCCTAACTTCATAAACACTTGCTGTATGCCTCAATCTAAAAATAGAATAGTGCACACCTATAGCTACTTTCGCCTACATAAACGGTTATTTCCTTGTTAGCTTATACTTTCATATGATCAATGGTCTCATTCGAAGATGACAATCCTAGAAGTATTGGACTCAATTTTTTATTTATTTCTAGGTAACAATCTCTGTCCATAAATCACCATACAGAAATTACTGCGCAGATAACTGTGAAATATCATCAAAGACTTTGCGTACTTTTGTAACTACAATGAAATGCGTGACACTAATGCACATCTAGGAACTTTGACACATACGTCAGACTCCCGATGATCTAATAATCTCTATTCTCTGTGGTTTTCTTTTGGACAAACTTTTCATTTAACCGCAAGTAAATTAATTTAAGCGTTATTTTCACCTAACTTTCCAATTTTTTTCGATTTCAGTTGTGCTCATGAAACAAGTGGTACTAACGACTGTCTTAGGTCTTCCGGGAAGTGGAAAAAGTACATTGTGTGAACGTCTGCATCAGTTAGAAACAAATGATTGTTCAGTTATGTGGCTAGAATATGATCAACTTGTTCCAGTACAAATACTCTCTCTGGAAGCAAATGTATGAAAATCGTTTATTTTCGATTATTTAGACTAGAATTCTGATTGGAAGGACTGGCGTCAAGCTGTTGTTGGTTGTTTAGAGAAACTGTTAGCTTTATGGAAGGGGTTCGACATTATACACGATTTGAATGAAAAGGAAAAAGTTATTTGGTTGAGGATAAACACATACTCTACTCTAGATGCGAAGGACATCATAGTTTTATTAGACGACAATTTCTACTACTTTAGTATGCGTCGTTCATTCTACAATTTAGCAAAAAAGTGTAATCTTGTGTTTTCTTATTATACCAGATTCATGTAGTTATGCGTCAATAGTTTGTAAATGTGCGATAGATACTTGCATTCTTAGAAATCGCGCTAGGCCAAGTCCAGTTCCAGATGATACTATCCATAAGATGGATAGAAAATTCGAATGGCCCGATCCAGTCAACAATTTATGGGAGAAGCATACAATCACAATCAGTTCACTTCAAGAGAATGTGTATGTCTGTCTTTTTATCCCATCGCTTCTATTATTAATAGACACAATCTAGTCAGTTTGCTTCGTTTCTTAAAACTGTTGTTGAACCAACCGATTATAAGTGAAGATTCTGTAAAAGATGAGGAGAAAAACAGAAGCAAGCGTATTAATCTAGACAGTTTACTCCATAATGTGGATATTCATTTGAGAAAGGTCACAAATCACACAATTAAATCTAAAGGTACGTTTATCTATCAATTTCCATTTACTTCAGATTGTTTGTGGAGAACTCAGTATGCAAAAATGGCATCGGATATTAAAGCACAGTGTTTACAAGAACTGCACAAGACCATATCCGGAGGAAATAGTATTTGGACAGTTGAAAACTGTCAAAAGTTTGCAGAAGAACTGTTCTATGAGAAACTTGATGAGGTTTTTAATAAGAAAGTAACGGCTGGTTAAAAACAAATTGCCTGAAATATGGTTGTAGAAAAATAATTGTATAAGTACTCGAGTATACTTTGAGATGTCCAGCATTGTAATTCATGTTATCACACTTATTTTTTTATAGATACTTCTTCTATAGGTTTAATTTGCCATAATATAAATGTATTTCATTGACAATGTAAAAGTGACTACGGTTTTCCTAATGTTTACCTCTTCACTTTATTCTGTAAATGAAATATTAAGTTACTAGCTAATCGATTTATTGAAAAGTTCCATATTTGTTTTTATTTCTCATTCACTATGCATACTGAGGTAAAATACTAATCAACTAATAAATGAATAGTAAAGTTGTTGATAATGGCCACAATGTATACGTTATTTATTGCGTTGGATCAGTTTCGAATTCGGAGTTCAGTGATTAAAGTCAGTTTCACAAAGCAGTAAACCGTAGTTCTTTAACTGACTTCATAAGTCGTCCAAAGATCGTTGGTATCTATCCTGGTTAATCAGTAAAGGTCATGTATATTTCCAACTCTTCATGAATTGATCTTGTACCTTAAAATGTTTATGGGTTGGAATCAAATGTCTAACTTACTGAACCATTTATTTTGATAAACTGCGACATTTTAAATAGTACGACATTAGTAGATTGGTTTTCTAGATTAAGTGACGAACAAATTAGTTGTAAAGCGACTTAGTTTATTTGACTTTGAATTACCGAGCAATGTAAAATAAGTCAATATAATAGTTTGTCGAGGTGTAATCTGGTTCGAACTTAGTTAATCTACTCTTTATATTTGATCTTAATCTTGATTGGTATTTCCTTTTCACCCATAACATTTGTCGCCTTTGAGTTTGTTGATAACACATAAACCTGATCTCTAATGGACATATATCTCAATATTAACTTATAAATTATCTACAATATGGCTTTTTCGTCCAGAATTAGCAAAATTTCCTTCATAATTTTATAAAAAAAGAGTGAATATGATTAATCAACTAGTAAAAATTAGTGTTCTTGTTCTTGTATGGTCTTATAGCAACTACTCGATCGAAATGGTTCCCAGCTCATGTAACAACGTATGCCACACTTCGTTTCTATCGATAGGTGGTCTTTTGACTGGAAGTTTGGTGTTGACCCATAAGAAATCATGCTTTAGTTTACCGTGAAGCCATTCATATAAGTGGTAATCCTAATAAACTTGGAGTTTTTTATGTGGAGTCTGGGGGGAGGAGGTTGAATATATCCGAATATTCACAACGGCAACCGAACAACTAGTTGTCATCAAGTGATGAAAATGGTGATATAACGGCAAGAATATTCGGTTTGACAGTTAAGTTTCAATTTCATGGGCTGATAAGTATTGATCTGCTAAACTCATAGTCATTTATATTTTGATCGATTTCTGATGGTTTTTGCCTCAACTGTTTTTTTAAGTAAGTATGTTATTTTACTAAATAAAATGGTTTTCCGAACCTATCAACTCTGTAATTGTAGATGCATTAAAACGGCAGTAATAAAAATTACTTTACTGAAAATTTTTATCATCAACTTAAGCACGCCTATAATTTATGGTAAAGGAAACATTTGTGTGTTTATTCTAATAGAGAAAAACAGGAGTAAAAATAAAATATAGTTTAAGAGGAGTGGACATGTGTAATTCTATGGTATTCGAACGTGGCAGTGTCTGTCATTGAAAGGCGTACCCCAGAAGTACATAAACCTTGTAAAGGCCCTTTACTCGAACACTACTAGTTGAGTCAGAGCTTATGGCGAACTGTCATCTACTTTTGCAACCTCAAGTGGTGTCCGTCAAGGCTGTCCACTTTCTCCATTTCTGTTTAACTTCACCATAGACCTACTGATGGAAATAACATTCTCGTCGACTGAATTCTCGGGTATTGATCTCCTACCAGGAGGTCCACTTATCGACTTAGAATACGCAGATGACATAGTCCTGTTTGGTGAGGACGCTGAAAAAATGCAGAGTCTTTTGTTAGCACTAAGCAACAATGCCAGAATGTTCGGAATGCGCTTCTCTCCCTCTAAATGCAAGTTGTTGCTTCAGGACTGGCCTGCGTCAACACCTGAACTAAGGATAGGGAGTGAAGTAGTCGAACGCGTCGACAACTTCACTTATCTTGGAAGTCTGATCAGCCCTAATGGGCTGGTATCGAACGAAATCTCAGCACGGATTCGAAAAGCTCGCTTGGCTTTTGCCAACTTACGTCACCTTTGGCGAAGGCGAGATATCCGTCTATCAATAAAAGGACGAGTATACTGCGTGGCAGTCCGTTCTGTTTTAATTTACGGCAGCGAAACATGGCCTTTAAGACTAGAAGACGCCCGTAAGCTACTAGTATTTGACCACAGATGCCTTAGAAATATTTCTAACGTCTGTTGGGATCACCGGGTAAGTAATAGTGAGGTTAGACGCAGGGTATTAGGTTATGATGGTAAATCAGTTGATGAGGTTGTTAATCTTCATCGACTGAGATAGTTGGGCCACGTGTTACGTATGCCTGAACATCGATTACCACGACGTGCAATGCTAACCGGTGTAGGGGATGGTTGGAAGAAAGTTAGGGGCGGCCAAACCAAAACGTGGCATCAGTGCCTGAAGTCACTAACTTCTAGTCTGAGCCATGATGGTAGATGCAGACTACTTGGTTGGGGTCCGCGTGACTTTCGTAACCAATGGTTGGAGACTCTTGGTGACATGGCTCGGAATCGATCACAATGGCGTCGGTGCATATACTCTCTGTCTTCCCTTAAACTAAGAGATTAAAATCACTTCATATCTTTCTTTCTACTAACTAATTCTTTCTTCCTCTACTATATCCTTATATGCAATCTTTCTCCTATATATTACCACCTCTGAATTAACTACTTTTATGAATCCGGTGTCCATCTTGTTGTGTTAATGAGGTATGGTAACTTGGACCGATGCATATATGTGCATGGTCCTACGTTGTAGCTGACTGACGATGGTATTCGAACACTCCAATACAGCTTGGAATTAAAAGGGTTAAAAATCTATGGATATATTTTAGTTACTTGAAAGTAGTATAACTTGGTAAATAGAAGTTTAGGTGACAAGTTACATACACATTTGAGTTGTTGTCATATGACTAGGGTAGATAAATCAGGTGGCAAGGGATTTGTTTCACCTACTTATTTAGCTTTTTGATATTAAGCAGAAATTTCAAATGACTTTCAGGTGTTTATTCTTAATGTGCCAGAGAACAATAATTATGTTTTGGATTATATCAAACCATGACAGAACAGTGAGAAGATAGTTGATCTCATTGTTTTCATTAAAATTAGTTATAAAACGGGCTAAGTTCTTTGCATCAAATAACCTATTATCATTTTGTTAACATGATAAATCCATTTTAATTAGATAAAGCAGCCCAAGTTACCATGGCGCTGAGAAAACAACTTGACAAGAAAACATTTTTGTTGTTTAATAAAGATGTTTAAACTATTTGATATATCGAGAGGGAGGTATATTTCACTGTAATCGTCTCACAGATACCATCATGGTCAAGGGCATAGGATGGGAAGTGTTTTCCTTTGTAATTTTTCGTTTCTTAATACTTTACTGTTTTCTGTACATGTCTTTGAATCTCATGTATATATATAGTTCAGGAGTTCGTTTTCTGTATGAGGTATCAACTAGACAGATTATTATAATCACTTACGAATAATTTAGCTATGACATTATTCACTGAGATGATTACATTTCATTTAACCTATAAATCACGATTATATTTCAATAGATTTTTCGGGAATTAAATAGTTTTTATATACGACAGTGATTAGGTGTCACTTATCTTCGTCCGGTGAGCTTCTAGACTTTTCCCTTAGCAGTAATATTCTTTTTAGGACAGCATATTTGATACATGGATTTCGAAGTTAACCCCTCTCAGTTCTTCAATGAATAGATCAGTAAGAAAATGTTATCAACCATCATAGTATACCTACTTGAATTTTTCTGTATTCTCGTTAAGTATACAATTTTTCAGTCTCATAAACTCATATCAAGTGTTTTATAACAATTTTTAAGGAATAAACTCTGATTAAGACGTATTAATGAAAATCTGTATGTATGCTAACGACACAGTGATAAAATCAAGCAATTCCTTAATGAATATATTTAAGTAATAATTTACACACTAACATTTTTCAATTTCATTCTCAAAAAAATGATAGCTAATGTAAATCGGGTTTCTTTCTGATTTTTTTAATTTATTCGTGAATAGAAAATGTCAACCAAAATAATTTAAATGAAAAGTTTATTTCTTCACCTCATTGTACAAGCTAGTGACTATCAGGACAGTAGCTAAGTGGATAACGCTATGGCGTTTGAAGCGAACGGTACTGGATTTGAGTCCCGGAGTGAACATAAACTCTGAGGTGCGGGTACAACCAGTTGACGAGTCCCAAACAAGACAAGATGCACATCCTGGATTCCACTGCTAACCACCATCCGTCTTGGCTTATAATGCTTGTGACTTGAAACAATATCCAGGCAATTCGTACAGGATGTACATACGCCAGTAAGAGACTGACCAATTGCAGTCCTAAACATCAATGGAAGGATCCAAGCAACCAATACAAAACGAATTTATTTATCTTGTTTTTAATGATGTGAGTTTTATCCATCAGATTATACACTCGGTAACTGTATCGTTTTACAGCAAAAAATAACCTAAATGCAACGAAAGCTAACTTTTGGAGTTCACTTGAACTGTTACCCTTACGAAAAATATGTTACAGTAATGAATTCAAAAAATTAAGATTACTATTAAAAGTCATTTGTAGCAAGAGTGAAACTTTACCACTGGTTACTATCATCCAGTGTGTTACAACAAAACACATATGTTTTCTGAATTTCGGAATCAATATGTGGTAACCTGTAATTTATAGATCTTAATTTGTAGTATGTTTTATGGTTCCCGATAGTCATACAGATATTTCATAGTTTACAACACGGGTTAATTGTAATCAA